GTTCTTGAGCAGTACAAGTGGTATCCTTAATTTTTTTTAAACTTCTGAGGCAGATAATCGTGATAAACCAAAATGTAAACCACTGTGTCACAAGGATCCCAATCACAAAATAGCATGCTCAGGCAGTAAATATGTTGTACAAGTGGACCCCTTCTTTGGGGATATTCAGGTTATGGAATTGTGTCCTTAAGGAAATCATAGAACGTCGCCAAACTTCAGCCAAATCAGTTTTTAAAGACATGATTATATATTAAATACACATCACATTGGTGACACCAAAAATATTGAACCGGTTGATGGGTAGCATATGCACATCCATTGCTTAGCAGTGTGGTTAGTATTCATGTCTTATTTTAGATTGCATTATTTTGCTTTTATTTTAATTTAAAATAAAGCACTTTTATTAGAGCTATGGGATGAAAAATTACGCAGGAGCACACTCCACTTGTATTGTGGGAGTCAGTGTGGAAAAATAGGGTTTTCACTGTGGAATTTTTACATACAATTTCAAGAACACGTCCCTTCTATAGCATGAGATTTTCTGGATTAAGCTGATATGTTGCAGTAGCAAAATGAGTGAGATCTTTACAGATCTCCTTCCTAGAATGTAGAGTCTTGATAGTTCGAGGTGAATGGGCTTGAGGTTGCCTCATACTGTTGAAAAACTTGAAGAATTCAGAATATAGCGACTGGCTACAGACTGGACGAAAAGGGGGCTCCCGAGTTCAAGTCCCGGTAGGGTCAAGAATTTTCTCTTCTCCACATCATCCAGACAAGCTCTGGGGTCCACCCAACCTTCTAACCAGTGGGTACAATTGTAGTATTTAGAAGTGGCAGTCCTCCGACGCGGAGTAGGAGAAGTATTGGTAGTGGCGGTGAGAGCTCCAGCATGCTGACAAGTGTGGAGGGGAATGCAGTACAGGCGTTCTCAAAAAGAAATAACTTCTTACCTCATTGTGTTGTATAGTGATGGCGGTTTAGTCTCGATGATGTTCACACATCCAATGTTAAATTTTAAGTGCCGAATGGCAGATTATTATGCATAATACACTATTATACACTTTTCACTGTTATATACATGAAGAGTTTATTTAGATATTACACAGGTCTATTCTAAAGGGGCAACACCAGCAGTGTTCGCATAGATATCATCTCCACATGCCTGTCCTTCCTCATCAACACCAGATGAATCGGAGCTATCATCAGAACTGTCATCGCTATCACCATCAACATGGAAGACGAACTCCTGTCCTGCAGCCAAAAGGCCTTCCCGTGCCATTAATTGTGGCTCAATGTTCCTTACATGTTGACACGTACATTGCCATTCTTCTGCAGTTATGGAAGCCAATTTTTGGTCTGCTAGTTTAATGACATCATCCATCTTAAATATGGTATGGTCTTGAGCAACCCAATTTTTTACAGTGGCCCATATTAACTCAGTTGGGTTGAGTTCTGGGTGATACTGAGGGAGTCATAAAATATTGTGATTGTGTTCTGCAAAGATTCCATCTATTTTATAGGAAAGGTATTTCGGTTTGAGTGGTAGGATCATATTACATATGTCTGGATTCCGCAATGATGAAAAATCAGTGTTATTGAAGGTGATAGGTGGAAGATGATATTTTAGCCAGGATATCATAAAATCTCTTCTTGAATTTGAGTTAGGGGCTCTGTTTAGTTGTACATTATGGTAGGGAGCATTATCAATGACAAGTACAGAATTTGGGGGAAAGTTAGGAATAAGTCGCTCCTTTAACCGTTTTTCATAATTGGTGTAGTTCATGTCACTGTGGTAGTCTCCTGTTTTTTGGTCGAATTTGAAGCGGACCTAGGCATTAGGGATGAAACTTTGCTCTCCCCCTGCATGGATAACAATGAACCGTTGGCCTTTGGACACGGGAAAATAATCCCTGGATGGATCAATCACTCCATGCATATGGGGTGGTGTGCGATGAACGAATATAGGTTTCTTCCATGTAGATGACTGGGCGGCCCTCTTCCCTATATTCTTTAATTTGCCACAAATACTGAAGACGTTTTGCTCTGATATATCGTTCCACCAGTATCTGCTGATTATTTTTTGTTTTCTTCCAGCAGAACCCCAGTTTCAAAATAATTTTCTTTCATGTGGAGATGCATCCCTGAAAATCTAACGTTTTCTTCAAGCGGCCTCCGTAGTCATGGGGTAAAGTTCCCACCTCATGACTCAAGGTACGCGGTTTCAAACCCGGCATAGGTCGTGGAATTTTTAAGGGCGGAAAAATTCAGGGAACAAATCCTCCGGGAGGGACTTTAAGCCGTGGGTCCCGTGTCGTAGATTTACGGCACATGGAAGAACCTCGTGTCTCTAGGAGACCTCTGAGCAAAATTATTAGGTAAAAACTTTCCCGCCCAAGTAATTTCCAATGCCTCTGGTAGATGGGGGAAGTATCAAGGTACCGAGGGCCGACGTCGTTGGCTCTACGGGGCTGATAGCACGCACCGTCTACCGGTAGGGTATGGGGACAGTAGAAATTAAAGGGGGACGCACAATGGACCAATAACTGGTCTAAGTGCATGGTGAAACCCACCCCCTCCAATAATAATAATGTTTTCTTCAACTTTTCATGAACTTTTTTCAGGGTAGATCTCCTTTTTTCAACTATGTAGAAGTCATGTTCTTCGCACCACACACTCGTTAAAGTCATCCAAAGTGGCTAGTGGAGATTCCCTAGATCTCTCTTTATGGCGTGTCGAAAAGGAAGTGGAACCCCAGTTTCGATATTTTTTGTTTCTCTTATTATTCTTCTGATACACCTGTTGCCTTTGCTACTTCCACTCCTATGTTCTTCACTGTAATTGTTGGCCCAGCCTCTTTTATATACTTATGTACATTACTAACAATTTCTCTTGATTGTGAATGCAACACTTTTCTACTCAATTTACTCATGTTAAAGGAGATAGAAAAAATGTACAAATATAAATAAACAAAAGAAAATCAACGAATAAAAATAAAATAAAATATTAATACAGTAAATAGAGAATAATAAACTCAAATATGACTCCAAGAGTCAAAACTTTTTAACTTGACTGTACAAGGAAGACTGTTTTTAACTGAACTTGAGATTTCTGCTCGCACTGAAAACAGATGAAAGACTAATCACAACACCCCTCAGCTTTCACGAATGGACCTGCCCATCCACTGCGCAGCTCTTCCTGGACTGTCACTTCTAAATACAACTGTACCTGAGCCTGAAGCTGACCACTCACCTGCAGCTAGTGCCGAGGCCAAGAAACTGGATCTATACATCCACTCCCCCATACACTTTCACGGCGTAGTGCTTAATTAGTTAAGCACAAGGGCAATTTTACCTTTTTACCTGTATGGTGTTATTAGTAGGCCCAATCACAGTGGCTGCATGGCTTAAGGCATGGATGTCTGTGTGCTTTTATTCTGTGTTTGTGTTGTTCTGTGTATAGCAGCCTTGTGATAGGCTGGTCCCCCGTCCAAAGAGTCCTACCAACTTCATATAGAATTGAGAAACTGACAAAGCAGCCAAGGTCCAATAAAGGACTGTAGAGCCATAGATATATACGTATATATATATATATATATATATATATATTGTCGCGTGTTGCCTATGCAGTGTGACATAACTTCACTGGGTCCTGGATTTAGCGAAACTTTTATTGAACTCTCACTCTTACACACCTAAGTACAGTTATTAGTACTTCAACTGTGTTCTGCGGCGGCTTTCTTCCAACTCTGGTCTGCTAACTCTCTTCAACGGCGACTATCTCAAGATAGACACGGCGAATGCATTCAACCCCCTTACGTAGGCGGGTTCCGGGCAGATAGAATGCACCAGTTTCGACAGTTCGGTTTCCGATTTTTCGACAATCTGTTGTTACGCAACGAACCTTCCATCTCTGGGGAAACACGTTTGTTGCCCCAGGCATTCCCAGGCAATGGGCTTCCTGAGATTTCGTTGCTGCTGAAATAACACATTACAAGGTATATATATATATATATATTGTAACGTGTTTTTGCTACTGATGACGCCGTTCGGATTGTTAATTGGTTTATTTAACAACCTACAAGTCTTCGCTACAATTAATTATAACACTGTTGCGTGTTTACACAATTTACAAACCCTACACACTGTTCTATTCACTCTATCCTCAGTAGTCTTCACGTATTTATAACGTGGGAGCTATACAAGTGTCACTTAATTACTCACTCCCAATACCTTCTCAGTTATCACAAACTATCATTGATCACACATAAGCTCGTCTGATCATGCGTCCGGTTCTTCTTTCCGCGACAGCTGCTATGTTCCAACTGTCTTCATAGGCAGTGTAGTTCTCTTATAAACCCTCAGCCAGACAACAAGAAACTGCCTTGCTTCCTTGTTGCCTAGTCGCCTGTTTACCAGTGTTGCTGGGCATCACTGTCTAGAGTTGTTTCCTGCTGTGCAGTAACCGCGGCATCCCCCTCCACGTCACCGTGAGGGAGGGGGGAGGAGTGTTGACTGGCCTGTTACCGTAATAGTGACATCGCTCAGATGCTGCCACGTCACCGCTGGCGGTGGAGGGAATGTCCTCTGTAGCACACTGCGTCACAATATATATGTGTGTGTGTGTGTGTGTGTGTATATATATATATACATACAGACAAATGGTTTTAATAATAATATGTACAATGTACATACATACTTAAAAGGTTTCAGCTAATGTAGCATGAAAAAATATAAGGCTTCTTTACTTTTGAAATTGCCATCACTTCGTTGCTGTAGAGCAGCAGAGAAAATTACCTTGTCTTTAATGCATTACATCAGACTAATTGGAACCTCAAATGGGTGGGACGCAGACCATCAAGACTACTGCACTGACAATATTAGTTTTCAGAATGCTATAGTGTAGTATATGAATTGGATGTCACCTGTCTGTTGTCTTAATGATATGATTTGTCAGTTGAATTATTGATTCTTCAGAGTTCAAAGTATTGGATGCTTTTCCAGATTGGAGTGTTACCATTTACCAGTCTGCATGGTCAGATTAAGACAGTTGTACGTAAGGAAGAGACATCGTTGACAAAGCATAAAAAGTCTTCGTTCTCTAGTAGAAAACATGATTCAGACAAAATAAATGCTGAGTCTAAACAAAGGAAAGGTGAGTCTGTGATTGCTGTGTTGAAAATGAAGTAAAGGAGTTTTGTAACAGACTGCATGTAAGATTTGAAGCTTTTATGGCAATTGAATGCAACAGTTTTCTCGCACAGTTGTTTTTGTAAATTCAACAGTTCATAGACTGCCTGTGTCAACATGAATTTATAAGATTGTATCAGTCCATCATGACAAGGGGAGAGAGTCTCAAAAATGATGAAAATACAATCCATGTTAGTACAACTGATTACCAAAGAAGCCTGTATAGCAATGCACTATGTTCTATCCAGTTTTACTTTACATAAGTTAACTGAAATATATGCTTTGTTACATGAAAATTGGAGGGAATACTGTTGTGTATTTCATGCCTATATAAATTAAGCTTGCGTTGAAGTAACGACTTAAAACTGAAGGTTTATGTGATATAATGTGCTATGTTTTTATTGCCGCTTATGGCAGAATATGTGGCAATTTTAATTTCCTTTCAAATTTTGTGTTACATTTTCTTCAACTCATAAACTGTTGTTTCACTTCAAATTGTTTGCATTTTGAGTCACTATACGTGTTTGTTATGCCTTGTTGTTTTGCTTGTTGTTTCATTTACATGTTTGTTACTCTTAGTAGCACAGATAATAATAGTCACAAAAGGTTCTGGTAATATAAAATGAAACTGACTCTTAAAAGTAATTGTGATGTGCTGACACCAAACCTGGACACACAACACTTTCCAGTACATTGCAGTTATGTGTACTGAATTTTGATATAAACAGTGCTCTCTCTCTCTCTCATCAGAATGCAGGACAGAATGATAATGTAAAGGTAGTTCCTTTGAAAATATGGCAGATTCAAATATCTGGGTATGACATTAACAGATCAAAATTTGATTCCTGCAAAAAATTAAAAACAGATTAAATTTGGGTAATGCTTGCTGCTGTTGAGTACAGAACATATTGTCTTCTGGGGTGTAATGCCATGTAGTCTGCTGAAAGCCAGCCAGCATTTCAGAGGAACATGTCGCTTCCATCTTCAGGGTTGAGGAATAAGCCAAGTGAGAAACCAGCATGAAGTAGGTAGTAAGCCTTACTCTGCCTACTTGGAGAAAGTTCTCATTCCTGTGACAGTTCTCCAAATTCCTGCATCAAACTGAAAAAGTGACATGCATGCCTAACCAATGTCAGTTAAGGCAGTGCCCCAGAACCAGTTGTCTGCAGACCACTGCCTGTCTGTTGTGGTTGTTCTAAAGTAATGTAGTTTAGTTCAGTGCAGTGCTGTTTGGAATTGTACACCCTGAGCACGGTTGCCTCATTATTATACTTCCTCAGTTTGGTAATCAAGTTTATCATGAAGTGTGTGTTTCACCTTACCACGTTAGGTTCAAAAATGACTGAATCCTGTGTCCAAGTAGCAAATTTTCAATGTTTTCCTTGATGCTTTTTTTCACTGTGAGATGTTGATGTGTATGATATGGCCAAAATAAATTGCTACTGTGTATACTGGAAGTCAGGATTCCAGGAATGTATAAAACCAGTACCTATTTATCAGATTCCACTTGTACATACATTTATATACACAGTCCCCAGAAGTGACCATTAACATACCAGTGGTCAGATATTTTTGAAGTCCTGGTACAAGTTGTGAGAATAAGTAAGCCAGGAACTCACATGGTGATTGCTACTTTTAAATGTTGCCATATGAGCTTTTTTTTTTTCATCAAAAGACACAAGAAGCGATTACGACTCGTAACAGTGTAACTGTCAAATAGGGATAGATGAATGGCCCTAATTCTCAGTTTATTTTAAAGGTTTAGAAGATGTGAAATCCCAGGTTAGTGATTCACAACAGGAGATAAAGCAAAGCGCAGGAAAGCAGCAGGAGTCAGAGAAGAATCCACAAAGTGGGGCTCATTTTGAGGGTAAAGCCAAAAATATCAGTGCTGTATCTCCTGGAGCAGATTCAAAATTAAAGCATTCTGACGGTGAAGGAAGTAATGGAGCTGTAGAAGCGGTGGCAGCAAGAAATAGGGAAGGAGACCTCCGTGCAGAGCTCAGCAGGAGGAGGGCTGAGAGGCTCACAAAGGTCAGTTTGTGCATAATTGATTAAGTAAAATGACCATTCTAGCATGCAGAATTTTTTGGTGTTTTCTTCACTGCAGCTGCTTAGAGGTACATATATTCAGTTAACTTCATGCATTGTTTTGGCTGGAACTTAAGAACAGTGTTATCAGAAGAACAGAAGGAATGGATATTTAGGTAGCAAATGTTGGTATAAAAGGCTGATCAAAATTAAAAGCAAGATGGCCCATGTGAAAAATTGTTGTACCAATAAATGGTTAAGTCACTGATAATTCACTCTGTTCTTTACAATAAAGTCATTCATATGTGGTATTAGGCATATGTGACTTCGGAAGAGATTAGAAGAGCCTTGCTTGTTCAAGGTTGCAAGTAGGTAGGTACCACTCCAGCAGAGGAAGCTACTGCTTGCACCCTGAGGGTAGTCACAACCCAGAAGACTGTACTTTTTGTAGTCACCACTGGGAGAATGTCAGGTCTCAGAGATTTGTGTTTGTTGTAGGCTGGATCTCTTCATGAAACTCTTCCAACAAGACTTCTCCAGTCAGCCTTTGAAGGAGTTGTTGGAAAGTAAGTTGAAAAACAATCTCATAAAAATTAAGTTAGATGAGTTGGAAATAGAAGTATCTTTTTACATTACATTTAAAATATCATACTTTTCTTGAGTTTGTTAATGACATATCTTGATTTTTCAATATACATCATGCAGCATCCCGAATTAAAGCTTTCTGGCTTAAAATTTTCCTGCATTTTTATTTTTTTATTTTTTGTGTGTGTGTATCATGGTCAGAGCATAATGCACAATTTCCTCCAAATTAATTTTTCTTGCTTTAGTGGTTTACAGTTAGATGAGCTTAAGTGTTTCTCTAAAGATTTGAGAACTTCTTCACTTATGATTACTTCTCAGGCTCAGAATTGCTGTTTATAACTTGTTATGGGTTAGCAACACTGTTATTGCCTAAATATGCATGAATTAACATCACCATTTACTGTGTGAAGCATCTTAAACTTTTGTATTTTAAGTGAGTTTATTTATATTTATTAATAGTAAAGTGTGACTCTGTAATTAGGTAGCCTGTAACAGATAAGGTCCTTGTATTAACCCCCTGCAGTCTAATCTCGAATGTAGCTCATTACAGCAGCAACATGCTGTAGTACGCAACATCAATGCAGACTTGTCTTCGGTTTCAGATTAAAACGGATGGCATAGTTGGTCATATCTCAGAGAGATAGCAGCACAAGTCAAGGCATGGGTGTTTTTAGAAACTGAACAAATTGGCATGTTTACCATGAAATAGACACTCTGAAAATCATGGCAGCCGTTTCAAATATTATTCTGTCTCCAGGCCCTTTGCTTGGAAAAGAAGGCTTCAAGGGGTTAATATTTTCATTGTACCATTGACTTTGCTGACCTGTGCTGTAGTCTGTGTGGTGCAGTCACATTTTGTGTGAATTCGAAATAGTGCAATATAAAAAATATTAATAAAGTCTCACTTTCTGTGCAAAGGTTGAAATATATAGGTAGGCTGAAAAGTAATTCACACATGCTTGTACAGCGCGAACGAAATGACCTTCAGAAGTGCGCCAGGTGACATGTGGAAGTAACATTCCCCCTCAATATGCATGCGCAGGTTTGTGGTCGTTGCGTTCATCCAGTGTATTTCGAGAAGCGGAGGTATGGAGACGTGTTCTAGTGCTATGTCAAACGTGAGTTAAACAGCATGCTGTTATCGAATTTTTAACTGCTGAAAAAGTGACTCCTACTGAGATTCATCGTCGTTTAAAGGCTGTTTATGGTGACAATGCTGTTGATAGGTCTACTGTAAATCGAAGGGTAATAAAATTTTGTGGTTGCGAGCCTGGAAAAGCCGTAATTGTTGATGAAACACGCAGCGGACATCTGATCACTGCCAGACGATAATCATCTCAAACTCGACGATTTGATTCAAAATGACCGGTGGATCACTCAAAAGCGTAAAAGCTGAAAAAGTGACTCCTACTGAGATTCATCGTCGTTTAAAGGCTGTTTATGGTGACAATGCTGTTGATAGGTCTACTGTAAATCGAAGGGTAATAAAATTTTGTGGTTGCGAGCCTGGAAAAGCCGTAATTGTTGATGAAACACGCAGCGGACATCTGATCACTGCCAGACGATAATCATCTCAAACTCGACGATTTGATTCAAAATGACCGGTGGATCACTCAAAAGCGTAAAAGCTGAAAAAGTGACTCCTACTGAGATTCATCGTCGTTTAAAGGCTGTTTATGGTGACGATGCTGTTGATAGGTCTACAGTAAATCGAAGAGTAATAAAATTTTGTGGTTGCGAGCCTGGAAAAGCTGTAATTGTTGATGAAACACGCAGCAGACATCTGATCAGTGCCACAGACGATAATCATCTCAAACTCTTCGACGATTTGATTCAAAATGACCGGCGAATCACTCAAAAGCATATCGCAAACCATATTGGAATATCCAAGGAACGTGTCAGCTTCATTATTGAACAATTGGGATACCGTAAAATCTGTGCACGATGGGTACCATGCCGTCTCACAGACGAGAACAAACAGCGTCGATTGGAATGCTGCAAACAACTTTTGCAGCGCTACTGTGACAAAGGAGACGACTTTCTTTTGAATATTGTGACGGGGGACAATTCAAGGGTCCGTCGTTACTACCAGGAAGAGAAAAGACAGCGCTGAATATTGACATCCATCTTCTCCTCCGGCGAAAAAGTTCAAAACACAATCATCCACCAAAAAACTTCTTTTGACTGTGTTTTGGGATGCTCACCGAGTTTATGTGACCGATTTTCTGGAACGAAGGGCAACGGTAAATTCTTCTCAGTACATACAGACTCTAAAACACCTCCAGCATCGAGTTTGTCATGTTAGAGGCAGCCTGGCGCCAATAATCTTGCAACATGACAACGCTCGTCCACACACCTCGCGCGCAACTGAAGAGGCTCTGTGAAACCTGAAGTTTGAACCGATTCCACACCCTCCTTTTCCCCCGATCTTGCGCCTTGCGATTTTTATTTTTTTCCTCTACTCAAGAGAGACCTCAAGGATAATCATTACACCTCGTACGATGAGGTGAAGGCAGCTGTCAAGTCCTGGATTCGAGAAAAGTCGGAAGAATTTTTCAGTGGTGGAATGAAAAAACTTGTTACACGTTGGGAGAAATGTGTTAGCCTTAATGGTGACTATGTTGTAAAATAAATATATGCTTTTGAAACGTAAGAATTGTACTTTAATGTACTTTTTGCCTGATCTTGCTATTTGTTTTTGTTCGCGCTCTACAAGCATGTGTGCATTACTTTTCAGCCTACCCATGTAATATTGTAACGTGTTTTGCTACTGAAGATACAGCTTGGATTGTTATTTGGTTTATTTAACAACCTACAAGTCATAGCTACAATTAATTATGACACTGTTACGGGTTTACACAATTAACAAACCCTGCACACTAATCCATATAACACGGGAGCTATACCAGTGTCACTGTATTACAAACTCCCAATAACTTCTCACACTATCGGTATTCTTCACGTTCACAATTCACTCGCTACAACTGAACTCAGCGACTGTCAATTCAACTGACTCCTTAGGCAGTGCACTTCTCTTATAAACCCTCAGCCAGAAAACAGCACCTTGCTTCCCTGTTGCCATGTCACCTGTTTACAGATGTTGCTGGGCAGCGCTGTCTAGAGTTGTTTCCTACTGTGCAGTAACGGCGGCAATGGTTGCCTGACACAGCCGCTCCTCTGCCACGTCACCACGGGGAAATGAGGCAGAGTGTTGACTGGCATGTTACCGTAGTAGCGATAGCGCTCCAATGCTGCCACGTCACCGCTGGCAGGGAAGGGGATGCCCTCCATAGCGCAATGCATCACAATATGAACCCCCAAAAAATACAATAAGAATTATGTATGTGTTTCAAAACTTGTCTTGAATTATGCAAGGTCTTCAGGAACACATCTGTCTCATAAAATGTGACTGCACTTTATTTTGAAAGCCATATTTGATTTTAAAATAGTATTATCAGACATTCTAAGTGTGTCATTGATTATTAATAATGTGTTTCAACTCATGAAAGATTGTTCTACATTGTTTCTTACGGATTTCAGGAAAGGTGTTAAACGCTCTGGAAAAGAAGAGAAGATGGTTGGTGACAAGAGAAAAGAATCTAAGAAAGGCAAGTCATAGGCTGTTACAGTAATGGTAGCAGCTGAAGTTATCTGTCATAACATTGAGAACTATTTGCATGGATGTGGACAATTATTTTGAAAAATACTGTGCTCTCTCCTCCCCCATCATACACACACCCAAAGGCGAATTATAATTTCTAATCCAATTTACATACCAGAGAAACTAACAGTGATTTTTTTTCACATATCACCAATACCACCTCCTCCTCCACCACCACAACATCATCGGTATTTTATGCTGTTCCCTTGATTTTAACCAGTGATATGCAGTGAGTAGCTTTAAAATGGGTCCAAGAAATGTTTTGGTTTCTTAACATCTTGATTTTCTCTTGCAGAAAAAAATGATGTGCGACGTGTCCTTGTATTGAAAAGACCAGCTGTTACAGAAAGGAGCATTTCCTCAATTAGTGTTACAATTCCTAAAGGTGTGTATGTGTAAAAACTTAGTGCTAGATTGGGTTTGACTAATAGGGTCTGACAGAGTTGTGCAAACAGTTATGCTGAAAATAAATGTAAAAGTACAACTTGTCACTGTTTTTAATAAGCACTACACCATGAAGACGTGTGGGAGACTGGAGATCTAGTTCCATACATTCTTATTTTTGGCACTAGATAGAGACTGTTAACTGGGGCAGCTTATGCAGTGTAGAGATCAGCTGCGGGCTGTGTTCTGATTCAGGGCATCAGTTTTCTTATCACCAGATCAGCTACAGGGTCCAGCCAACCTCCTGTTTGATATGGACCAGGGCCTCTTTCCTTTTGGGTAAATTATCTGGGGTATGAATCTGGCTGCTTGCTTCCATCTAAAGCTCTGGTTAACGGTGAGCTGAGTTAATCAAACTCATATTTTCATGATGTGCTGTTTCATTAAGCACAGAGTGTGTTACCTTTTACCTATGTGTAATTGGTGATGTGCTTCATGCCTGCCACTTATTTCCTAGAAAGAAGCCCCTTTTTCCTATTGTGTTTGAGGCTAGCTGGGCTCCATATCTCATCTGTTGGGTTGGTGAAAAGAATGTTTTTCTCCCAGTGCCTGGAATGTAATTCCAGTTGATCAGGTGCTCTGGCTATTAAAATAATTTCTATTGTTTAGTTTTTGTGACCTCCACTGCGTAACTAGAAAATGAAAGAACATTTCAGCTACTACTGATATTACTATTGCTTCAGCATATGATTAAAGCTTTCGTGGCAACTATGAATGAATGAATGAATGAACGAACATATAAGGGGTGGACCTTCTTGGCCCTTGCACCGCGACCACAGTGATCTATTGTGCCTCCCCTTCTGATTATCCCCTCAGCAATCCTGCACTTTGAATGAAGCGCAGGATTTTGTATGTGGGAGAGTGGAAATAGTCCCTTGGTTCCATAAAGTATTGATCCAAGTGGTGCAATCTTAAATAAGATAAGGCCTCACATTCGCACAGGATATGTGTGGCTGTTTCATTTTCTTGACACCTCTCACAAGTTTGACTGTTACTTAGTCCCAATTTGAAGAGGTATCCTTTGAGGTGACAGTGCCTGTAAGTAGCTCTACCACCCATCGTAGCGGGTTCCTGTTTAACTTCAACACTTCCTTTGCTCTTTTAGTAGAGGGTCCTCATGCGAGTTCCTTTGCTTGCCTGAGTCCAGTTAAGGATCCCCAGTATTTCTTGTTTCATGTTTGTCCAGTCCCCGATTGCCTTTCTGGCAACGCCTATAGAGATGCCACAGGCTGGTTCAGGTCCTATGAACGGATGTTCAGCTCCAGTCTTGGCCAATTGGTCTGCTATTTCGTTTACCTTTAGGTCGTCTTTGTAAGACTCCCAGTTAGTTCTCTTTGGATTCCCATAAATAGCTTGATCTACTGTAATGTTACTTATTTGAAAGCATATATATCTGTGATCTGATAGGGATGGCTCATCAGATACCTGCCAATTACTGATCAGGTTTCCTATTTTATTAGTCCCTAGTGTCAAGTTGATAACCTCCTGCCTATTGCAAACCAAAAGGCAGGCTCGTTATCTTGGTTTAGAATGTTAATGTTCAAACTCACCAAATATTCCATGAGGCATTCTCCTCTTGGGTTGATGTCAGTGCTTCCCCACAATATGTGGTGTGCTTTGGCATCACACCCAATGATGAGCTGCTTTTTCCTAAGGTGGCAATATTCAACGATGTCCCTCACTTCTTTGGAAGGTGGTGGTTCATCCGAGTTATATAGGCTGAAGTGACGACGAGCTCTTTGTGGCAACTATAAAATGATGTGAAAGTGGAATCGGTGTCTCATTGTTTCAGAGATCCTCTCTGTTTCTGTCATCGAAAATGGTCGATGTGATCATTGAAACTGTTATGCATTGTATTTATAACCAAAGCATGTGCTCTTGAGTCACTGCAAGTTGTTTATGGCATAACCACACTTCATCCTTCAACAAGGAAGGGCCATCCAGCAATATCAGAACAACCAACAATAGTTGGCATACTAGAGTGACTTTGCCCAGTTTTCCCCCAGCAGACTGAACTGGGGCTGGACAGCAGGCTCCACAAGCTCACTCTTTCAGTTTGAATACAGTGAGCACCTGCATCTCAGTGCATCCATCAACTTCTGATGATGGAGCCCAAAATTGGTTTTGGTGTTCTTGGCACTTGGGTTTGCTGATCCTATGTGTGTTACTAAATTTGATACAGTGAAATCTCACTGCTGCATGCTTTATGGAACCTTGACCTCTCTGCTTAATACTAAAATGGCAACTTAGGTGGAAGATACCGTATTTACGCATGTATAGGCCGCACATTTTTTGCCAAAAATTCAAGAGGAAAACTGGGGTGCGGCTTATGTTCGAAATCACACTTCATTTAAAAAAAATTATATTCATAATTAGTAATACAAAGTGTTCAAAGATCGAGGAAACCGGGGCAGCAGCGTAGAGCGGATGGAACGTTTCTCCGCGACTCCTGTGCCCCTCCCCGCTAGCGAGAGTGCAGTCGTGTCGCTGATACCCTTACATCAGTTTCTGTACATGCACACATTTATAAGAATACTGTAAAAAGATAACACAAACTTACCGTGCTTTATAACAGGTGCTGAAAATGACCCCCATCTGCTTGCAAACATGCTTCGCATCGCATGAATAAATTATGCGACACTTTCTGAAGTTGGTCCACGGTAATTGAACCATATTACTGTCCATCACTTGACTCGTTACTGTCGATGTCGCTCTCGCTCGAAGTTTCGCTGTCAGGTGATGTCAGCCATACAGCGTCATCTTCAGTCCCGTCCATTGCGTTGGAAGTGGATGTGACTTTAAAACTTTTGGAAACCATTTCTTCTGGTATGGTGTTCCATGCAGCCACAATCCACTCACACATTTGACTTAATGAAGGTTTCTTCAATCGTCCAGTCGGCGTCATCTCCATGGAACCGCATCTCCAGTCCCGGTAAAAGCGCCGCAAATGAGACTTGAAAGGACGGTTTATTGACACGTCAAGTGGTTGTAACATGCCAGTCATCCCCCCTGGTATCACAACCATATCACTTTTCTCCTGCCTCATCTTCACTTTCACATTTTCAGTTAAATGGCTTCGAAAACTGTCAACCACTAACATTGACCGCTGACGTAAAAGTGCGCCTGGGCGCCGAAACCACACTGATTTCAACCAATCCAGATAGAGCTCTTCTGTCATCCATCCTTTTTCTTGAACTCTCACCAAAATTCCCGGTGGAAGCTTTTCTTTCGGCAATGTTTTGCGTTTGAAGATTACAAATGGTGGTAGTTTGTTTCCATCAGCAGTGATACCAAGCATTACGGTACACCGCTGCTTTTCTGCTCCTGCAGTCCGCACATGCACTGTTTTTCCGCCTGCTTTGTTCACTGTACTTTCACCCGGCATTTCAAAGAACACAGGAGTTTCATCAACATTTCCAATAGCTCCCATGGTGTAGTTGTGCGTCTTTCTTAATTTCAGGACATGTTTTTGAAATGCAAGCAGTTTCTCCTGGTATGTGTCGGGAAGGCGCTGCGCTATTGACGTCCGTCGCCGAATTACAAGATCATGTCGGGCCATAAAGCGCCTTGCCCATCCATAACTTCCCTTAAATTCATTACGAGGAATTTTCATTCTGTCCGCTATTTTGAGGCCTTCAAATTGAATCATTTCCACAGACACTGAAAATCCATCCGCCCGTGTATTACGCACGTATCGCAAAAGTTTATTTTCAAGTTCTGGAAATTTAGCTTTCTTTCCGCGGAAAGATTGTCGATTTTGTGACGTTTTTTCAAGGGCATCTTTCGTTAGTATCCATCTTCGCACATTTTTTTCGTCAACGTCGAATTTTCTCCCTGCTGCTCGATTTCCGTGTTCTTGTGCGTAACGCACCACTTGAAGTTTAAATTTAGACGTATAACCTGCTCTTACTCGACCCATGTTTCACTCAGAACTAACCAGGCAAGTCAAGTAAAGGCGAAAAGGTTATAACTCTCCCCCGCAATGCCTTTGTTCCGAGCGGTACCGTTATTTTCGCTAGTTGCGAACTTAGGAATGTTAAACGTTGCCAAATTTCGGAATAATTTCTACTCCTGAAATAATATTCCAAGAAAATTATTTTTTCTATAATTTCTGTCTGAAAATTGTGCTGCGGCCTATACACGCATGTGGCCTATACATGCGTAAATACGGTAACTTTTATTTAGATAAACAAAACAGTGGTTACCCCCCAGAAAAAAGAGACTTTCGAAATGTTTACTGGTAAAGTGTGAACTGTTCATTAGAGCCACTTGTTCTGTTCATTCAGTTTTATTTGAAGCAGAATGCGATTCTCAGTGAACAGCAGCATACAGCACTGATCTACTGTGGTTAATAGTCACATTGTTACAAATGTTGCTCTAATCTGGCCAGAATTAAAAGGAGGACTTCACACTTTATGGCCAAGGTTGATCAAGTAAATAACATACAGATTTCTGTAAATCAGTGCTTCTCTTTAGTTTATTCTACAAGAACATTGAAACATGGAAAATACTGAGTTCTCAGAATTTCTAAGTAATAAAATCTACAAAACAGTACATAGTTAAAACAGAAATATATGTTCATTATGTACGAGGAGCGTTCCATATATAATGCCTCCTATTTTTTTTAATGAAAACTACAACAGATACAGAAAGCATAATAATGCAGTTAAATAGAGCAAGATTTCAGCTACTTACAGTTATTTTTCCACATAATCGCCAGCAAAGGCTAGCCACTTTCTTACAGCTTCAATGACAGCATCGTTGTCTGGAAAATGTTGCCCACGTAGTCCTACTTTCATAGGCCCAAAGAGATGGAAGTCTGAAGGTGCTTAATCGGGGCTATAAGGTGGATGTGGTAGGACAGTCCAGCCAAACTTTGCAATATGTGTGTGTGTGTGGTGGTCGCCAAACTGGTATGGGGTCTAGCGTTATCGTGTTGCAAGCGAAAGGTTGTCTGCTTCTCTGGCCTGACTCGGGAAATGCGGGCTTTCAGCTTAGTCAGCATTGTCTTGTATCGTTCAGAATTGACAGTCTCACCAGGCTCCAGGAAATCCAACAAAATCACACCCCGCCTATTCCAAAAGACCATGCACATCACTTTCCCTGCCGATAGCTGTGTCTTGAACTTCTTTTTTCTCGAGGAATCCAGATGTCGCCACTCCATGGACTGTCTTTTGGATTCCGGCTCATACTGGTGATACCACGTCTTATCTCCAGTGATGATGCTGTCCAGAAACTTGTCACCTTCAGCCTCAAACTGGTGCAACAGGTATTGACAGACTTCCATTCGATGAGTTTTTTGGTCCTGTATAGGCATCCGCGGGACCCACCTGGAACAGACTTTGCAATAACCCAGCTTCCCCAACATCGTTTCCAATGCATTACAGCCGATATTAAGCCGTGCACACAGTTCCCTGGTCAATATCTGCCGATCTGTGCGGATGAGCTGATTGAGGTGTCTTTCATTGTAAGGAGTAGCAGCTGAGCAGGGACACCCACGGCGTGGCTTGTCGTGCACTTCACTTTCGCCAAGCACACTACCCATCGCCTCACTGTGCTGACATCCACTGTATCATTTCCATGCACCTTTAGCAAGCGTCGATCAATGTCAATGGGTGCAGTTTGTTTGGCAGTGAGAAATTCAATAACACATCTCTGTTTCGTACACACTTCTATGTCAGACGTCATTTTGGTAGACTGCTCAGCTGTCGCTATCTGTTGCACGACAACCAAACTAACAGTACATTGTCAGGAAGGTGCAATCTTTACTACAACACCACCAACATCCAGCTCAGACATTACATATTAACACAAAAAAATAAGCGTTATATATGGAATGCCCTTCGTATGAGTATGTATTAGTCTTGCTTGTGAATTAAAAATGTATTTTAATTTTATAACCCCCATTATAAATTACTTGGAGAACAGTGGGCTTTAATACTAAACTGAGGAAACTGTTAACTTGAAGAAATGTAACATCAAGATTATTGACTTAGGATAGACATAGTTTAATGTTAAGCAAGCAAAAGCTGTAATCTGAACAATATTAAATGCAAATTCCCGTTCTGACACCAGAATGTCATTGTATTAGTGACTGTAGACAAGGTATTGATTTGTGAATGGATTTATTGAACACTTACAAACTGTAGCTACAATTAATTGTCACCATTTCACTGATTTTTGCACTTTACAAATCACAGTAGCACCCGCCAAGCCTTTCCCAGCCTGCTGTTTTCACCAGCCATTCCCTATCAATGGATTTATAACAGTCTCACTGCCACTGCAGCTTACATGGAGTCTTCTTTGGCAATGTTGTATTTTAGCATCCTGTTGCACTGATCTTCGTCCATGATATGTAAGCAATGTCCATCTTTTAGTGCACTCAATTTTACTTGTTACTTCATAACGTGTTTTGGCACCACAGTGCCATCATCAGGTGCTCCATTTACATCAATCTATTTCATTGCTTGCCATTACATCATCGTAAAATTTAAAAAGTATTTAAAAATGTTCGTCAGTTATAATAAATATATATACTGAAAACTTGTTAAGATTATTTATCTTATATGTCCCAATTCTAACACCACGCATAGTTTCACCACTATGGGAGTCGTTCCTCTTATTCTCAGGGTATATCGTGTCTCGTGTTGTGTGTTCCCTGTTTGGTTGTGGGTGTTGTTCTTTGGCACTCTAATTCCTTTGCCATTTCTTCTCAGTCATCTTCCAACTGCCATCTTAAGAAATTTCTTTGTAGTATTTTGCAGCATATTACAAAGATAGTGGGAGTTCCGCTGAATCTTCATTCTTACACATCTTGTATTATGGAATTTCTGCTTTTTTATATGTAGAATTCAAACACGAAGTGAACACAGAATCTCTACCTGCAAAGCTTCCTGTTAGAATGCGATTGGGCCTACCAGCAGCAAGGTCCGCAGCACATGACCATCAAATTCCAAGGAAGAGAAATCGAAAGGTGGAGCTGAAACGTAATGTGATGCTAGGCCCTAGGCCTGATGAAAAGGTAAAGTGCTGCACCAGTGTTAGTTTTTCACACATCCTCTGTATCCTGTTCTTACTCCTCTTCTTCCCTTGTGCAGAGCAAGTTGTAGCCAGGTTCCATCCAATGCTTACCTTCTTTGTTGGAAAGGAACATGCAACTCTGGCTGCAACTTATTATATTTCAATTCAGATCAGTTTTTACAATAATGTCATTTCCTGTCATTAGCTTCTGAATGCATTTAAATATAACTTTCAGTGAACAGCGAATTAAAGTTTTAAAATAGATGTCTAATAAGACCGTTGCACTGTATAATACAGGAATTATCATTTCTGTATATTCTGCACACACTACACCCTATTTTGTTACGTCAGTTGGAGGTTTATAATGTATTAAGAAATATGTTTGTAACCATTGTGACTGTGATAAACTTATACTTCTTGGCCTAATTTTATACATATGTATGGAAGGGGACAAAATAAATTGCCCATTTAATTTGGAAGGGCTTGACGAACAAGAAGTAATTAACACATGAGCAACAGGTTTTGTATAACATGTTTTTGTAGAGTTACATTTTATGTTTGTTACGTGTGTTATGATATTATGAATTTCCTCGGTTATAGTTATTGAGAATAATGAAGTAACGATGACCTTTATTAATACATTGTTTTTTCTTACTCTTGATAAAATTGCAGGTATTCAGTAGTGGACAGTGAAGAGATTTATATTTTTAATTGCCATTATACTGATGAGATATGTTGGTATTCCTTGTACAGATGTACTTTTATTATGGTTGTGTATTAGTAACTGCGAAGTTCAGAAATAGCCATAAAGCATGTTAAGTTGCCAGGCATATATAAATTAAGCAATATCAATTTCAGGCTAAAGTAATGGAGCATTATCAGAAAATCATAAGATTGAACATTTTATTTGGTGTAATTTTTATCAGTTGATGGCCTGCTACTAATTTTGAGCAAGGTCATAGAATTTGTTGTGAAGTCAACTTGGGTAATAGAGATTCATACTGTTCTGAAAAGTAGTGGAAAGATTCATGAGATTAACCTTCTAATGTAGCACTCCAAATAAGCCTCTATACAGAAGGAAAACTACAAAGAACCTCTGGACATAGTAACCTGGCCAGAATTTTAACCAGTAGCTGAGTGTAAGTTCAGAGTGTGAGGGTGCATCATATAAAGCTTGTGCACAAAAAATTTAACGTCAGAATATAAAATGTTTGGTGTGCAGAAAAGATGATGAAATTGACTCAGTTTTAAACTAAATTTATTAGACCCATTCCCCAGTCCCTGATGTCAGTTTCCATGATACTCAAATTATCTCTCTAGTGACATTCTGGCATATCTTACCTCTTGAGCTAATCTGGAGAAGTAATGAAAGTTCTGTTGTATTCAGTTCACACTTCAAATTTATGGAAACACAGAAGTTGTGTAAATTATAATTAGATGTTTTCTTAATATAATGGTCCACCAAATGTAAATTAATATTTATTGTAATCTAAAGGAATTTGAGATTTGAGGTCCTCAAGGTGGTGAATATGAAGATACTCTCTTCTGGGATGTGATGGCATGTGGCCTGATAGAAAGGTACCATTGCCTCCATCATCATGGTAGAAATTTCTGTGTGTGCATAAATTTATGGTCACTAGATGAAGAGGGTAATTTGTCTGTTTTTGAGATGGGGTGAAATTTTGGATGAATTTCCTATTTTAGAGGCTGCCTTATTAAACATTTTGACTTCACTGCATTAAGTTATTCTGATGAAAGCTGGAACTTTAACATATGGTTACCATTATTTTATAGGTAAGTTTAGTAATTTCTGGATTAAATATGGTTTTAGTGTATATTACTGGGAGATAACAGAGCAAATTAACAAGAAGGCAGTATTGAATTACATTTGAAACTTACATTGTAATAAATTCAGTTTAGCTCTTCAGAATTGATACAGCATCCTGCATTGCTTTCAGTTCTCATAATGATCTTGTTCAGAACAAGGGCCTAAACTTTTATTACACACTCATGAGTTTAACACTCAAGTATTTGTGTTATACTTGCCAGACCAGGTGAAAAAACTTCCTGCTCATATAAAGTCTTGAGAGAGCACTAATTTTATAGACACAATTTTCTTATAGGTTTTACACTCTTGTACACCTTTTATTTATTTATTCGAACCATTGACTGTACCTGCTGTTTTAATTTGTGATATACAGTAAACTTGCAGAAACAGGAACCACGCAGGACAAGATTTTTATTCTGTTGCAGACAGGTTCTGTTTTATGCTGGTACTTGAAATAAGAATGTCAAAATATAGACATTGTTTATTGTTTCAAACAGTACAGTCAGATTTTCTTCATGTATGTTGTTGACCGAGAGACTTGATTTTCAGTTAGAATTCTAGCTCTGCAGATTGTATAAGAAATGTAGGAGTTGAGATTGTCACAGCAGTATTTATGAAGTGTTCAAGGATTGAGAGTCAACTGATGTTTTGAAGGAACTTATCGCCTCCATGCTCAGGGTCAAAGAGTAGGCTGAGCAAGAAAACAGCTTGAAAACAGGTGGCTGTCAAAAATGGAGGTTATCTGTTTCTCCAAATTGTTGGTTAACTTTCGGCAGACCACATTGCTTTATATCCCAGAAGGTAAGTATTCTTTGTATGAAAAAATTCAGAATTTTTGCAATGTAGCAAAAATTCCTAAAGCTCTCTGATGGCATGTAAAGCATCATGGTATGACCTAAGTTTTGCACTCAAGTTCTTGGGAATTACATCATCCTCTTCCTTGCTGTTCTGGTGACTGTTATTGAAGTTCTTGATTTCCGTCACATCAGCTTCTGTTTCGATCTCAGTATTGAAGTTAAGGCAATCCTCTACTGTAACATTTTTGTACCTAGCCTGATTGAGAGATTCCTGAAGTTTTTTTAGTATTCCTGTAGTCTATTTTATCATAAGTCAACTTTGTTGAAAGTCCTGCTTTCTGAAAATCTGTTCATGGAGACACTTTGCTGCCTCAGCTATTCAGATTACAGCATCAAGGACTAAGGTGGACTTGGCATTTTGGGTAGCAGAAGATGCTTCTTCCATGTTGGCTAGCAGGATCTCATGAGGAGCTTGTGGTAGTTCAGCTTTATACACTTTATAATTGCTTGGTCCAAGAGTTTAAATACATGTGTGGCAGTTGGAAAGCCATGCAAGCTGTACATTTGAGAACATTACGTTTTTTTGGTGGTCTTTGCATTAAATTCTCTCAGCCATTCCTTCATGATGTTACCCAAGCTCTCTTGATAGATTTGCAGTCAACAGGGAGGTTTTTTGTGTCAGTGTTCATAAAACATCGTGGTTTAATGGCTTTCCCTGTAACCAAAAGTTTCTCCGGCCATAAAACCACAGAAGGCAACTGTCAGACTTTTTTTTTTTTTCAGAGTTTTCCAGAAGAATATTTTCACCTTTCAAAGACATAGTTTTTCTTGGTTATGCACAAACAAATAGTCCTGTTTCATGATAATTGGCAGTATCCTTCAGTTTGTATGCATCTATAACTAAAGGCATTTTGACAGCATGGTTTGCTAAGGTTTTCTTACCAGGTTCAGTGCAGACTTCATTAAACAATATGATGGCTGCTTTCTGAAATTTTGTAACCATTCGTTAGATGCCTTGAAGTCACTTCTACCCAGTTTGTGTATCATTGATCCTTGTATTCGAAAGTTTCTAGCTCTTGCACTTACAGACCATTCCCACACAATTTCATTATGTCTTTTTTTCCAGTTTTTCTTAGTTTTCATTTTATTGAACCAATGCTACAACTTTGCCACTGATATCTTGTATATAACTTGGCTTCTAATATGCTGTACACTTGAGTTTTCCCAACATTTAAACTTTGTCATGATTTCCTTCACTGATAAACTTGACTTTTTCACTCTGTCTACATTTGAATGAATGAATGTATAAGGGGTGGGCCTTCTCAGCCCTTTCACCATGACCACAGTCATCTATTGTGCTTCCCCTTTTGATTATCCCCTCAGAAATCCTGTGCTTCGAATGAAGCGCAGGATTTTCTATGTGGGGGTGTTGAGATAGTCACTTGGTTCCATAAAGTATTGACCCAAGTGACGTAATCTTAAATAATCTAAGGCCTCACATTCACACAAGATATGTGTGGCTGTTTCATTTTCTTCATGACTCCTCTCATAAGTGGGAATATCACTTAGTCCCAGTTTGAAGAGGTGTCTTTTAAGGTGACAGTGTCCTGTAACTAGTCCCACCACCCATCATAGCTGGTTCCTCTTTAACTTCAGCAATTCCTTCACTCTTTTAGCAAAGGGTCATCGTATGAGTCCCTTTGCTTGCCTGAGTCCAGTCAAGGATCCCCAGTATTTCTTGCGCTTCATATTTGTCCAGTCCCTGATTGCCTTTCTGGCAAAGCCTATAGAGATGCTGCAGGCTGGTTCAGGTCCTATGAACAGATGTTCAGCTCCACTCTTAGCCAATTGATCTGCTGTTTCATTTCCAGCAATACCCTCATACCCCGGCAAATATATTAGTTGTACCCTGTTATGTTTGGTCAGTTCCATGAGATTTTGGTGGCAATCCCAGACCAAATTTGAGTTGATCTCGAGTTTGTCAAGCGCATTAAGTGCAGCTTGGCTGTCAGATAGAATGTAGATGTTCCTATTTCGGTAGTTCCTATCTAGATTCTCCATAATACATGCCTTAATGGTATATACTTCTGCCTGGAATACTGTTATGTACTGCCCAAGGCCGAAACTAAGTTTCCGCCTCATGTCATAGCAGTTCACACCAGCTCCAGTGCCAAAGTACTAACCACGCCCAATGTTGCTTAACTTTGGTGATCGGACAAGAACTGGTGTTTTCAACATGGTATGGCCATTGGCTTGTCTACATTTACTTTTGTATCAAATTGCATGTTTGCCCATTGCATAACAGCAAACATTTCACAAGCAAGTGCCATTGTACGCTTAGGAATAGAGCTTGAAAACATGTATGGATGCACCTGTGAGGGGTGAGTTAGGTAAGACTTGTATTTCCCAGTGACATTGTTGCAGTCACATGGAAAATACTGTATGGGGGGAAAAGAACTAATTCATGCATTTGGTGGGGGGGGGGATATTAAGAATATTTTCCATTCCTGTGTTAATTTCTGTTTATTTGTGTCTTTGCAGTCATGTTTGTACTACATTGACAGGACCAAAAGAAATGTCTGCTGTGGAAAGTTTTTTATTCAGTACAGGGTCCAGTTTTCATTGTATATTTATATGTATCCCCTTTTCTTTTTCAGTAGACAGTGTTCTAGTTTCTTGAAACATACTGTTACATGCTTAAATAAGTTTCTTGGGTCAGTTATGACACACCAGTGACACAAGTGATAATACTTCATGTCATTATTACGTTCTCTAAACACATAATTTATTTCCTGTAGTTTCTTATCCTATTCTTAAGGGGATCACAAGCTGTGGTCATTGCTGTAGATCTTTTCAGATCTACCACTGATATACTTTAATTAAACTGTAAATAATATTTGCATCTGTAGGAGCCTTAAGTTGTAGATTCAGTTGGGCAACTGAGACAGTGTTTCTATGCCAGGTAAAGGTAAAGCTGTCCCTATAACAGGCTGTGAAGGCCCATGGAGTTGTAAGATGTCGAGGCTCTTACATTTTGTAGACAGTTGGCTCAGAGATGGTAGTAAGGTTGTCAGCCTTATGCACCAGCCACCCTTTACTCCCCAGGAAGATCCCTGGTACTCATTTCTGTTAGAGGCTGAGTTGACCCCCAGGGCCATAATGTGGCTGGAAGGATTATGTAAATTGAAAAAAAATCCAGTGACCCTCTGGCTTGTAGCATAGTTCCTCAGCCAACTACACTACTCTGTGCCCCCTCCCACGTCCTCTGCTTTTCTCTAATTGATTGGTAACTACTAGGACCATGTAAATATGGTAATATAAGTAAGGATAAAAACTGGGTCTCAGGATCTCTTTAACACCTCTTGCATTGACATTTTTTTATGGTTACCTTAGTGTGAAGAAGTAACTTGACCTAACCTGTTCTAACATGAGAGTTGAGGTTTTCACAGTGGTGACTGAAATGTATTTACTGCCTTTTGGAGCTCAGGCAGTTAATCGCCAGCTTCCCACCACGGCAGTCTGGGTCTGATCCCAGGTCAGGTCATGTGGGATTTGTGGTGGACATAGGGGCACTGGGGCAGGTTTTCTCCGAGTGCTTCAGTTTCCCCTGCCACTTATAATTCCACCAGCTGCTCTACAATCACCACCACCTATCATCCGGGGTGGTACAGTAGGCCAATTAGTGGCCCACCCCAAGAAACTAAAAAAAGAGAGAAAACTACTGTTTTTTGTGATGTGATGCCATGGAATTTGATAGGTAGGTGCCAGTGTTTTGAAGGAATCTGCTGCCTCCACTGTCAGTGTAGAAGAGTCTCATTTACCCTGGTACCTAAATGTCAGTCAACATGGTATCACATTCCAGAAGGCAGTAACCAACCTCACCTAACAAGTCAAGGGATATATATATATATATAAAGCTGTAGCACAGGAAGGTATAAGAGTTCTACATCTAAAGATGTGCCAGCTTCTTTCTGTGTAGTATCTAACTTTTTGTTTTACAGTGTGACACTTAAGCACTTTTACTGTCATGTGTAACAACAGTTGAATGAGAGAACTGCAGTATTGACTTATAACTGTAAGTCCAACTTGATCTTTTAGGCTACAAATGTTTGAATGAGTGCAAGTCAAGTAATTTCATTGTATAAATAATAATGACAGGAAATTAGTTGTAGAATTATTTGAGCTGAATTTTTTCTTTGAATTGCATCTTTATAATGAAATGTTTTATCTTTCAGTGATACAACTTTTCTTGAGGTTTACTTTGAGATGTGTTTAACACCCGTTGTGATTGAATTGAAATTTTGGACAAGTTGCCATATTGTGGTCCAAGCAAGCTTCTGTGTGCCAGTAACATTCAGTATGCTGCATACTGAGGGCTGATGAAATTATGGATTTTTTTGTAGGCCAGCGGATAAATTTGTGGAGTTTTCTGCAGAATCTTAACATTTTCACCAGCCACACTTAGTGAACAAAACATTCTGCCCGCTTTCATCCAATATGATGAGTGTAAACAAATCCAGCATTGCATGTGTATATAAATATCGCAAGAATGTTTATGAACAGGTATCACACATCTGTAAATTTGACCACTGCAAACATGTAACATTTCAATGTGAAGCATATCTAATGTTTAGGAACTTGAGTTAGGTTTAATTCTGAAGATGATTTTCTTTTCTGGTGTTTTTCACAGTTTCAGTTTTTCCCTAACTGTTGGTTAGAACAATAGTTAAGATCAATTTAAATTTTTGCACATTACCATACACTAGTGCTAGTTATGTTAACCTTATAGCTGAACACTAGTCAAGGAAAAGCTGAGTAGAATGATTTTTACCTAATTATTTTCCTTACAATTCAACTGTAACTGAAACATGTATTATTTTCCTTACAATTCAACTGTAACTGAAACATGTATACATTTTAAAATGGGAAATAGTGGAAAGTGTTGATGGTGTCAAGTTGAAGTAAAAAAAATTGCAGCCCTGGAATGCCACAGAAATGTCTTCAGTTGAAAACTCTTTGTCTCCAGATCCTTGTCAGAGCACATGTGGAGCCAGCACGGGATATGTTGTTATATGTAGATTCACAAGATATAGCAGGCCTAATTAGTTGTTGTACCACTAAATTACAGTTTAGTATAGAATGAAACTTTCCTTATTTAGAAGAAAGGCAACAGCTCCTGCCCTCTTTATGCAATAGTTTTAGGGATGGTAGCTACATTTGTCCCTGGTTCTGTTCTTAGTGCTTCCCAGATGGAATGGGGTGTAAGAAAAGACTGACTCTCCAAATTAAGTATTTAATAACAGTTGCTAACAATAACAACAATAAAAAACTTAAATCATTACATTAGTACTTCAGATATGCATATGACTCTATGCCCTTGACCACATCAGTTGGTCCAGACTAAAACCCAATAAAAGAAAAATGTACAGAAGGTAGCTGCACATAGACCCAGACCCAGAAAATGAAACTCACATAACATTGTGAGATAACCCAAATCTCATTGTTACTCCAGCACTAATGTGGGAGCAGCAAACCCAAACACTAATAAATAACAACACCAAACAAAATTCCAGGTACTCCAGTTACAACATCCCAAAATGAAAAAAATAAAAAAACTTACATACTGTTGCAACGAGGAGACCCCTTGACCTCAATGGCCAGAGTGAAGAATCAAAACCCAATTTGGAAATCCCATCGAAACAGAATTTAGCAACCTATTTTACCCAACTGCTGGAAAGCAAAGACTGCTCTCCTAAATCACCTCACACTGGCAGAGGTCCTCCTTTCTAAACAGAGAGGAAGGGAAAATTACATGGTGCATGGAATTAGGGGATAATGGTAAAGGAATGATGACACAGATGCATGTGGGTGGAATGAATGAGGGGAGGTTACCGGACTGAAATGGGCAACTGCTGAGCTATCCGAACATAAAGAGGATCAGTGTACGATTTGAATTTCTTACAGTGACAGTTATAAAGAGTCTTGTCTTCTGGGATATAATACCATATAGTCTGTTGAAAGTTGACCGACATTTCAGCCTGCACAGCATTATGTCCTAGAAGACAGAACTCTTCAAAAAACGGCATTCTTAAAGATTGGTAATTAGGTTCTTCACAACAAAATTGATTCTGAAATTTTCTGCCATTATGGAATACATTGATATCATTCTGGGATGTGACACTATCAAGTCCATAGATGTTTACCAGTGTTTTGGAGGAACACTGATGGACATCTGTCAGATTAAAGCCATCAATCCCGGAATATTGTAATCTTCATTAGTACCAATGCTGAATGTAAGTATGTGGAATGTGCTGTATTGGAAACCATAAAGTGCTGGATTTGATAT